ATGATGCTGCCTTCCCCCTCGGCTGCCGGTCTCTGAGGCCTCCCAGCCTCCACTGGCTTTGCCGTCTCGTTTTACCTGTGGGGAAATTGAGGTTCCCATAAGGGGAGACACCTGCCTCAGGTGACCGTGCCTGGAGCAAGCTCCTCCCGTTAGAGATTTGCGGAGTGTTAGTCCTCGATCAGGTCCCTCCCCAGTTACCTGCCCTGGGAGCTTGGAGGGAGCGAGGGAGAAACAAGGCAACGGATGAGAAGAGGGCCTGGGCCGAGGGGCTTGGAGGATGCCCCTAGAGGGTTCCCGGATTGCGTGGGGAGGAGGCCTTGGCTGGGGGGGCATGAGGGACGGACTAGGGCTGGGGCAAGGGGAGGCACTTGTTCACAGCTGGTTTGATTCCCAGCTCTTCCACCTCCTGGCTGTGTGACCTTGGGCAAATCACTTTACCTCTCTGAGCCTCAGTTCTCTAATGTGCAAAATGGGGGTAGAAAGAGCACCTGCCTCACAGATAATTGCAAAGATTTTAGAACCCCCAAAAGCTTCTCACAGACTCAGGGCTTCTGTCATTTTCCTGCCTCTGTCGATGGCACACCGGCTTAGCATGGGGCTCCCCTCCCTCGCCCTGCAGGTCCCCAGGGCCCCCTCTGCTCCCTCCCCCCGCTGTCCCCCACACCTGGCCACCGCGCCCCAGGCCTGACTCTCCGCTGTCCCCCCCACCCGCAGCGACATCAAGAGGATCGGGGTGCGCCTGCCCGGCCACCAGAAGCGCATCGCCTACAGCCTGCTGGGGCTCAGGGACCAGGTGAACACCGTGGGCATCCCCATCTGAGCCGCGGCCGGCCTCGCGCCCCCGCCGAGATTACTTGAAGAAACAGAGTGGCCTTCCTGCCAGCGCCGCACCGGGCCACCAGGGACCTTATTTATTTCCAGTTGATCCTCTTGACGCCCCCTGAGGCCCCTGCCGGGGGGTCTGGGACCACAGCCTGGACCGGACTGAGCAGACGCCCAGGGAGCCTGGGCTGGTGCCCTCTGCCCCCACGAAGGACGGCGGCGAGCCCTGAGCGGGCACCGCCACGCTTCCGGCCACTTGGGCAGGAGCCCTCCCGCTGGGGCCTTGGGCCAGACACGCAGGACTTTTCCAAACTGACCTCCCTCCGCCTTCCCCCGCAAGAGGCCGTCCCGGGAGAACGGGCTTGGCCCAGGGCCCAGCACGGGGTACCTCACGCCCCGGCCCTCACTGTAAGAGGGCGACTTTGAACTTGACTGGGTGAGACCCACAGGGGTCCTCGTCCCTCCAGTGCCTTCCTCAGACCCCCAGGCCCTGTCCTCAGCCTGAACTGGCCGAACGGTTGCTTTCCCGGGGCCCTCGAAGGACGCTTGCTTGTGTTGAGGTGTTTTTTTAATATATATTTTATACTTTGTGGAGAGAATGTGTGTGTGGCGGGGGCCCCGCCAGGGCTGGGGGCAGAGGACGGCCTGCGTCAGACATTCCTAGGCTGGGGGGGGGCCTGGGGGGCCGGTGCTTTGGGGGGCCCCTGCCCGTTCCCCAGGCCGCCCCACTTCTCTGCCCTGTAGACAACATTTGACATCCATCAGTGTTAATGATTTTGTTTCGTGGGGTATTTTTTTTTCGAACCTTAATTTATTATTATTTTTTTTTATATTTATTGTTAGAAAATGACTTATTTCTGCTCTTGAATAAAGTTGCAGATGGTTCAGACGGATCATGGCTTTCAATCTTGGGAGCAACAGTGGGGTCTGAGAGGCCTCGGGGTGGGAGTGGGGGGTGGAGGGCGCCCCCGGCCCCTGAGCGGTTAAACAGCTGCTTGCGCAAGGCACACGGGTCGTGTAACCCTGGACGCAGGGGCGGGTGGGAGGTGGGCAGGGGTCCAGAGGACAGGCCCCACCAAGCCCAGCCTCTGTGGCCAGCAGGCCTCGATCACCTTTGATCTCAGGGCTCCCGGAGGGCTAGAGACAGAAGAACAGCAAGAGTAGCCACCGGCCTCCCTCCCATGTGACCCCACAGAGCTGTCAAAACAGATTCTTCACCCATCCGTGGAAGGCTCTGCGGTTTACAAAAGCTTTTTACAGGTTTTGGCTTGTTGGATCCTCAGTACTTTGTTATGAGTTTTGGGGGTGGCCCCATTTTACAGAATAGGAAAACTGAGGCTGAGCCCAGTGACTGGGCTTGCTCAAGGCCACACAGCGAGTTAGGGGGCAGAGGCCAGAACTGAAAGCAGGGCTGGGAATCCCAAGATGCTTTCCTCATAAGTAAGGAAGACAGTGGAGGCTTGGAAATGTGCAGAGGTTGCCCAAAGTCACACGACAGAGGCCTGGAGGGAAGCCAGAGTGCAATTTCACACCCGCGCCTTGTCTACTATCCCAGCTTGCTGCCCTGCACGTGGGAGTCTTTCACAGTGGGAGTTAGGAAGGTGTTGAACCAGGGTGAGCAGAGGTGATCTGGGGCCCTGCAGGAGGAAGGCTCCCTGGAGGAGGTGACCCAGAGCTGAGACCTCGGGGACTAGCAGGAATTAACCACCAAAGCAGAGGGAGGGGCTGCTGCAGGTAGGGTGAGATGCGGGGGTGTGAAACCGCACGGTTGTGCAAGGAACCACAAGCAGTTTAGTGTTACTAAGGCATGACGTGGTTTGCTGGGGAGGTCTCCAGGGCCTTGTAAAGCTGGGCCAGGAGTGGGGATTTTAAGTTGAGGGAAATAGGGAGCCACTGAAGGTTTAAGCAGGGTGTGGCGTGACTGTTGTCACTGGGAGAGGCAGGCCTGGAATTCGGGCCTCCTGACTCCCAGCCTGGAGCTGTGGCCAGATGGAAGGGCGCCAGCTTGCCCTGGGGACTCCAGGCCGGCCTGCCCTGCCCCCAGCCCCTGCTGCTGCTGCAGGAGAGCTGGCTCCCTCTGGGTCCCGCCCAGGCCCCCTGAGCAGCAGCGAGAGGAGACACACCTGCGTCTGCTAGGGCTGAGGTTGGGGGAGGTGAGGGAGGGCGCACCTGGCGGGCCCTTCCTCCGTTAGCGCTGGGCCTCCCGGGTGTGCTGGGCCTCCCGGGTGTGCTGGGCATGGTGGCTGAGTCAGGCCTTCCTGGTGCCTGACGCTGGCCTGACCCGGCCCAGGTGACCTCCACAGCGTTGTGGCTGGGCTGTGGCTACTGTCACCACTGACGAAGCTGTCGGTCCAGCAGGGGCTAAGCCTGCAGCTTGCAGACCTACAACAGTCTGGGCTCCGAGGGCACATCGAGGCCAGGCGTGAGTCCTGGTCCCAAAGCAGCTCAGCCCCCAGTGGCCCCACGGAGGAGCAGGAATGGACACAGGAAGTGGCTCAGCACGGGTGAGGGTGGGGTGGTAACTCCATGTGCTCTCCCCCTTGGATCCCTGAAAGACAGGGCCCTCCTCAGGGTACGCGAGGGCACTCGGGGCTGCACAGGCCTGTGGGCCATGGACTGGGGCCGGGCGCTCAAAGGCCAGTGGGCAGCTCCAATGGACCCACGACTGCAGTCTCCAATGGACCCACGACTGCAGTCTCCAATGGACCCACGACTGCAGTCTCCAATGGACCCACGACTGGCCGGAGGGGACACTTTATTTTTAAATTAAAGCAAACCTGGATCTGTCTCCTAGAGGGCCTAGACGCCTGCCTGCCACCTGTGTAGCAAGACGCTCACCCAACCCAAGCCCTTTCTGTCTTGGTCCCTAAAAACTATTCCCCAGTAAAAGGGACCAGGGCGCTTTAGAGAAACGGCCGATTCTAGGGCTGAGGCAGGGAGCACACAAGGTGAGCATCTTGTAACGTCAGAGAGTAAGGAGGCGCTCAAAAAATGCCCAGGCGGGGCTGCGTCAGACAGACACGGGCCGACCTGCTGGGGCTCCCGGCGGCCAAAGCTGGGACAAGTTGGGCAACAAGACAAACAACCCGGTATTAGACCATAATCCAAAGTATAAAACACACCCGGGTCCATGCTGATATAAATAAACGAATAAATAAATGAGGGAAACTAGACAAATCTTCCCGACTGTCGAATTCCAAGTAATTCCCGTGGATTCTCCGTGCCCAGTAGGTGACGCTGACGTTCCTGCTGCCTTGAGCGTGGACTGGTCACCCCTCCGAAGAAAGGAGGTGTGGAAGTAGAGAAAGGGTAAAAAAAAAAAGAAAGAAAAGGTAACTTTACAGAGGAGAAACCTGGCAGACACCACTGTAACCGAGCGATCAAAGTCTATTGTCAGTGAGATTGCAAAGCCAGCAGCCCAGAGCACAGGACATTCAGCTGGGATCCAAGACGGGGCGGGGGCAGACACTTACCCCAGGTGCGCTGGGCACCACCCCCGCTCTAGGTGCTTGGCCTGCGTTTGCTCGGTTCCTCCTCCAACAGCCCTTCACGGTGGGCGCTGTCATTCTCCCATCCTACAGGTTTGAACACTGAGGTGAGGGGTCATGTAACTTACAGAGCCACTCTCGCTGCTCTGCCGTCTCGGCCACCTCCCTAGATAAGGTCTGAGAAGCTCTGGTTCTGGGGAAATGGAGGCGTTATAACCTGCCCACGGTCCCCAAATGCCACAGTGCCCCACACGCTGTCCTTCCCCTTCCCGCCCTGTGCCAGGCTGGGCACGGGGCCGTGGAGATGCACACTGCCCCTCCCTGCCCTCATGGAGCTCTCGGTCTGGTGGGGGCGGCAGTGGCGACAGAGTGGGACCCAGGCTAGGAGGGGGCAGAGCTGGGTGTTACCAGAGCCAGAGCGGGGAACCTGACCCAGCCTAGAAGACCCGGGCGGGCTTCCTGGAGGAGGAGCCATACAGCTGAGGCCAAGTCCAAGTGGGAGTCCAACCAGGTAAGGGGAAAGTGTTCCAGGAGAGCTTGGCCCTCCCCTGACTCCAGACCTGTGAGGGTGGGGTCTGAGTCTCCCCTCCAACACTTGGGCCCCATGGGACCAGGACAAACCTTCGCCTCCAACACCTCCCTAGCCTTTGGCTCTCACGACACCATCGTTCCCACTCCAAGCAGAGTCTTCATCTCTGACCTCAGTCTTCTCAGCTGGGAAGTGGGCCCGTTGCCCTCTCTGGGCTCTCAGCTGCAGGGGACTTGGCGGCCCTTCAATGCACCCAAGGAAGCCCCGAAGGAGGAAGGCCGCGATTACAGGGTGTCGGGTCTGGGTAGCAAGTTGAAACAGTGTGCGGCACCAGGCTGAGATTTCTGACTCATTAGCAAATCCCAGAGGACGGAGAGAGTTGGCTGGCTGGGAGAGGGGGGCACGCAGAGGAGGGGGAGCAACAAAGCATGTCGAAGACCTACTATTGCCGGGGCCCACGCCAAGCCCGAGGCCCACAGTTGTCTCATTGAAGGACCCACAGCCACCCTGGTGCGTGGGCCTTATCCCATTTCACGATGGGGAGCCTGAGGCTCATGAGGTTGCAGTAATCAGACGAGGGCCCACAGCGGGAGTGTGACAGAGTGGGATCTGAAACAGGGGCCGGCTCATCCCTCTGCCTGCTGCTGAGTGACACTTGGGGGACTTGTTGGGGGTTCGTCTCAGGAAGCACGGGGAGACCCTGACTTGGCGAGTGCCCCGGCATGTCCTCACGGTCGCGGGGCTCAGTTAGTCCGAGTGTTGGCGAGGGCTCAGGCAACGTCCTGGCGGGGAGGCAGGCCGTCCCACGCAGGCCGGCCCACACCCACTCCGGAGCCCTCTCCCCAGGCGGCCGGAGCGGGCCCGCGCTCCAGCCTCTGCGTCTGGCTTTCCAGTCCAAACTCGTCAGCCAGCCTCTGTCTGCAGAACCAGGCCCGGTTTCTGGGAACTGCAGCCACATCCCACCCCTGCCGGGGACGGGCCTTTTCTCCCGCTGGGCCCGGTCCCCATTTCAGCAGCCTCAAACATTCCCAGCGCCTCACGCCTGACGGACCACGCGGTTTCCACACTGGTCTGGCAGGGCCAGCCGCCCGCGTGACCAGGTCTCCTGCCGGGCGGAGGGTCCCTCCACCGGCCTGACAGGCTGCACCCCTCCCTGACCCTCCTGTACCCACTCCATCCAGGCGCCCCAGACTGGCCTCCGTTCTCCGTCTGAGCCTCGCGCCGTCCCACTCGCATCTGCCCTGTTATTTCTGCCTGTGGAATCTGCACCGCCCTACCCAGCCCCCTGCTCAAACGCCCGCCCTCCAAGACGCCTTTGCAGAGCCGCCTCTGCTGCCACCGGAGGGACACATCAGCCCCCAGCCCCAGGCTCCCGTCTTGGCTACATCACGGCTCTGTCCCCACTTCTCCTCTGAGCAGTGTGCGTGTGCGTGTGTGAGATAAAATGATAACAGCTAGCAATCACTGGGCACGTGGCACGGGCTGTGCGCCGTGCTGATCGCAGTGCTCCCCATGGGTAATTCGTACGGTCTTCCCAGCG